ATTTAAGTTTATGATACATAATTAAATTATTCTTATTCTTATCCTACAATTTTATTTTATATTATGCTGGAAATAATATGATTTGGAGCATGGTGGCTTATTACTGTAGTTTGATTTGTACGAGAATACTTATTTTTTTATAACAACGAACTTGGAATGAAAGTTTTAAATTATATTAATGTATGGACACCCAATTTAAAGAATACATGATCTCTCTTTTACTCCTTGGAGCAAGCACCAGTGGCGAAAAACTCATCTAGAGCTTACTCAATGACTTGTTGAGAGAATACAATGAGATTGAACGACATAATGATGAGCAAGAATGAAGCCACCTTTCATTTTTTATATTCGATTGTTTTTTTGTTGTTTTTACACAGAGCCTGACACTTTGAAACTTTCATGCCCTCTCTACCCCTCTCTCTCTCTGCACTATCCATTTCTACTCCTCTCTCTCATATGTCAAAGGGCCTGACACCTTTGAAACTGGCTCTTCCCCTCGCTCTATCTGCACTCTCTATTTTCACCCCTCTCTCACACCCTCGGCAATCCAAAGATCCATGAAATGTCATTTATTACTATTTCTCTCATTTGCATTGTCTCTCAACTACTGCATACAATTTTTTTTATTGAAAGTATTTAATGAGACCATTTACCTTTGATACAAGGTGATCACAATTAATCTTGACCATTGAATATAAAATTATTTCATTGATCAAATTCAAAGTTCCAAAAAAATATTCTCGTACTTTGTGAAACACTCAAGCTATCAGATTTCACTTCGGATGACTGTAAATAATTGTGACCTCCCTATACTAAAGGTAAATGATTTCATTATATACAAACCATGTTTTTAAAACTCAAATATCAACTTTTTAATTTTGAAAAATCAATAGGGTTATTGATCCCTAATTTTAGATCAATCAAATGTCACGGAGTTTACTTCAAGAGGGATAAATACACAATATGGTCCTAAAGGAGCACGTTGGACAATATTTTCAATGGCTCATATTTGATATGCACTGGCCCATTGAGGAAATGATAAAATAGCACAAGTTAAAAAAAGTTATTTTTATTTTTTCAAAAAGAAAATTGTTAAAATAAAGCTAAGGCTTTGTAGAATAAGTAAAGCCTCACCTTAAAACTGACTGAAAAATAGTTTCCATTTTGAAAACCTTTCAAATCATCATCTCAACCTTGATTATTATGGTTGTGAAAAGCATTAAGATTTAAAGCCCTGAGAATACTGAAATCTAGACCATCTATTCTCAAGTATTTGTGGATCCACACGATTTGTACCTTTTTTTTATATACAAATTTCACAATCAATGGTTTTTTTTAATATAGGTTTTTTTTTTTATTGTCGTAAGGTCCAGGGGAGATAAAAACTGCATCCTTTCCAAAATACCCCATATTGTTGTACTAAAAGAGCTTTACTATTATAATAAATTATTTTGCAAATAAATTATTAAAAGAGCAACCTATCGAAACAACATTTTTTTTGGAAATGTACCCTATCCAAAGAAATCTGGTTTATATATTTTACATGCATGATTTAAATAAATTTTGCGTTTATGTTATTTCCCAAATTCTAATATTTATTTTGAAATATATAATTTTATATAGAAGGTTAAATTATTGAAAATCTTAATTCATATTTCAATAATATCCATGAATATAAGTTCAAAAATTTCGAATTTTTAGAAACTAAATTCATAAATCTAATAAAATTATAATCATGGCATAAAAATTATATTTGAATAATATTTTTAATAAACAGACAAAAGACAAATTTAAAATTCTAAATATTTTTAATAACTAAGATGCATATAATATTTTGTTTAAAATAGGTATGTTATATTTCAAATTGATTTATTATTATTGTTTAGGGAAAATTACGTATATATTCGTTATAGTTTTTGTTATTATCAAAATATCGAATAGTTTCCGTTATTATTGGAATGTCTATTTTTTTCACTTCATAATAAAAATTAAAAAAAAAAAAAAACGTTTTGAACATTTTTCGGTTTTGAAAAACTGAAATGGTTGGAGTTTTGGTTGTTCAAAAACCGAAAATAAGCTAATTTCGGTTCTTGAACAACCTAAAATAAGCTAATTTCGGTTCTTGAACAACCGAAAATAGTGTGGCTCGTGTAAACTTCTGGTTCAACACTTTGGCGCTCCACCTTCTCTTCTCTATGATTTTTTTTTTCTCTCTCTCTCTCTTATCTCTCTCACAAGAAAACATATTCTTTAGATTTGGTTACAAGGTTTTTGATGGATTATAAGTACATTTGATAGATTTTGAAAGCATTTGACGGATTTCAAATATGTAGTGAAGGTATGCATATAATGATTTATTGTTTGATTTTAGAAGTTTACATTGTATAATATTATGATTTAGGGTTTCACACTTGAGAAGAAGATGTCGATTTAAGGTTTATGTGATGGATTTCACAGTTCTATAAGTATGGCAATTTGTTCGAGTGTTATTATGGGTACTTTTAGTTGGTTGTGGGGTTTGCAGTTTGTGCCATTGGGTGCACAAAAGCGATTGCCCATTTCAACTTTCCTCTTCGCAATGAAGGATACATGATAGATAACCTTGAGGAGTGTTTGGATCCCTTAAGAGCTCTTATGGCGTAGTGTTCTCACGAGAGATTTCTAAAACTGATTCTTTGCCATGCAATAATCATTAATTGTCAAGCTTGTTTCATTTTTGCTCATTTCATGTAATTGGAGCTCATAAGTGACTATGTGCTACACTGAATATGCGTTCTATATTGAATATGTGCTAGAAGTTATGAGGATCAATTAGCATATTTATATTGATCTAAAAATTGTTTTAATTTTGTACTTATCTATTAGTTTCATGAAATTGTTTAAATATTATATTTACCTTCTTTGTTAGTGCAATTCAGGCTAGTACAGTCATGTTAGCAGAGGCACTTGCACTTAGACAGAAGTGGTATCATGAAGTTTATAATCGTGTTAACAACATGTTTGAAAATGTTGTCTAAGTTTGTGCCTATGAACATGGATGATATAGAAGCCAGGATAAAATATTTACAACATCAGGTTAATGACGAACCTGCACATGACGAGCCCAGAAGTGGTATAGTGGTGAAAGTAGTTGTGTTGTAGAAGACCTGGCTCTATCCACATAACCTGCGATTGAGAAACCCATAAGACATAATACGTGAAAGAAATAGTATCAGCTTAAGATAAGGCGAGCATTGTAATGATTTTTCTAGAAATGTAATGGTCCTTTTGGCCATTGTAATGTTATCATATTGTAATGAACTCTTGAGCAATGTAATGGTTTTTTTGGTAATATTTAAGTGTTTTGAGTTTGTGTACATGCATTTTAATTGTTTTTATTTGTTTAATTAGGCCTTTGTTTGAAAGGTTAATGTAATTATTTAGATGATAATGATAATGATAACGATTGACATACATAAAATTTGATTTGTATAAATCAATTTATAAATTTTGATTTGGATAAATCAATTTATAAATTTTGATGCCAATATTCAATTTATAAGTCAATGTGTTGTGAACAACACTACTCATGAATTGAACTAATTATATTAAACTCGTGTTGTATTTTCGGTTTTGGACAACAAAAAATAAGACTGCATATTCCATAATTACAGCTGAGTTTTTTGTTGTTGAACAACAGAAAATATTGGATTTTTAGTTGAACAACCGAAAATAGGATTGCATATTCTAGCAAGCTTATGGAATATGCAGTCATATTTTCGGTTCAATAATAAAAAAATTATGCATTTTCAATTGTTCAACAGCCGAAATTTGTACATTTTCAGTTATTCAACAGCTGAAAATATGACTGCATATTCCAGCAAGCTTATGGAGTATGTAGTACCGAAAATATAATATTTTCAGTTGTTTTGTGAAAATAGGACTGCATATTCCAGTACGCTTCTAGAATATGCAGTACTGAAAATAAAACATTTTTGGTTGTTGAACAACCGAAAATAGGGTCTTTTCTGTTGTTCAATAACCGTAAATAGGATTGCATATTCTAGCAAGCTTATGGAATATGCAATACAAAAAATATAACCTTTTCGGTTGTTCAATAACCGAAAATAGGATTGCATATTTTACAAGCTTCTAGAATAAGCAGTATTTTTGCAAGCTACTAAATAAAATCGATTGTTCAATAGACTGCCCAAATCAATAAATATTAATACGAATAGCAAATATTCACCAAATAATATTTATTGATCAACAAATAGTAATAAAAAAATATAATATTGTATTAATTGTGACAAAATTAATCAACAGTATAAGGCAAGAGTAAGAAATGTACCAATCACGACCAGACAGAGAGCCGATCTCTTCAATTTTGTGGGATACTGTATTGGAGGACAAAAAAGTTTGGAGGACTGTATTGGGGGACACAGATTTTTATAACCCTAAAATATCAAGAAAAAAGCTCATTTATGCTCGTATGTTTTATTTTTTTTTGGGATAATTGTCGGTTATTCAAAAACCGAAATGTTTTAATTCTCGATTTTTGAACAACTGAAATACGAGCCATTTTGGTTGTTAAAAAACATAAAAAGGTCAAACGCCTTTTTTTTTTTTGTTATGAAGTGAAAAAATGGACATTTCAGTATTAACAGAACCATTTGGTATTTTGGTAATAACAGAAACTATAACATATATTAATTTTCTCTATTTTTTATATCAATTAAAACATTCAAAATTACATGAAATTTAAGGGAAAAATTAATATTCATAGTGGAAAAGCCCAAAACACTTTCCATTCGTTGTCAAATGACAAAAAAACATATTATAATTATTATTTTTTAATTCTTTAGAGATCCCCGAGTCCCATAACCCAAGACTAGGTTACTCCGACTCGCCGCCATCCGAGCCATGTCACTTGGGCCAGTCCATGTTCGACCGAGTTTCAGTCGCTGCCCTTTAAAGGTCAAAAGAGGTCAAATTAGTGGACATGCTTCTTGCATGACAGGCCTCCATGTTTCTTGCATGAATGCTCATATTTTAGAGGACATAAGGGTCAAAATAGTTCAGATTCTTGCGGTTTCACAACAATGGTGTGAGAAACTCTCCATTATCTTTGCCAGGGCAGAAACCAAAAAGACCCAGAAGAAGAATACTCTGAACCAGTTCAAGGGTTCATATTTCTAGCTTCATATTCATGGAGGGAAGCACAGTGAAAGTATCGACCATTCCCCTTTCTGCACTGGCCGAAGAGCTCTTACAGTTCTTAGAGAGTCATATTGGCCCTCGCTCCATTTTCGCTTGCACCATTGTTACAGAGAGAAGGAACTGGAAGTCCAAAGGCTTTGGTAGAGTCCAGTTTGAGACCTGTAACGATGCGAAGAAGGCCAACGATCTCTCTCTAGAAGGCAAACTGGTTTTTCAGGGTAACCACCTCTCTCTCACTCTAGGTTGTGAAGATATTGTTCCTAGGCCTTGCAGGGTCGAGAATCGAGTAAACGGGGGGTTTCTGAAAGTGGGCTGTTTGGTTTATGAGGATTCAATGTCGGTTATTGGGTCTTGGAATCTTGTGAAAGCTGAGCTCATGCCTGAAAGAAAGAGGGTTGATTTCTATGTATCTGAAAGGGGAGAGTTGTTTAAGTTAGAGACGCGCTTTGAAGATATAGTGGAGACATTTGGGTGCCAAATTGGAGGAACGAATTTTGATGCCATTCTTTTACAGGTAAATAGGAAGATCGATTGGTTCTGATATATTAAAAAGGAAAAAAAATGATCTTGATGAATTAAAATCGATTTTAATGAGGCGAATGTGTATGTAGTGAATTCTTGATCATTGCATTGATTGGTTTTGATGTATTGAGTGTGTTGAAAGTTGATTTATTCATTGAGGAGTTGGTCTTGATGTATTGAGTGCGTTGAAAGTTCATTTATTCATTGAGGAGTTGGTCAATTTATTTTACAGGTGTCTGGGTAGTGATTATTGTTTCTATTTCATGTATGTTTAGGGAGTTGTTGCTTTTGGTTTGTATGATAGCATGGGGCCTTGCCTATTTCTTTTCTGACTGAATGTAGTTGCAATAATGAGAATCTTTTCTGGGTTAATGAGGATATGTGGTTCCGATGCTGCATTTATGAGCATTGTAATTTTTATATTTCCTCTTTCCTCTTGCCTTCTTTATTGACTACTTATTTCTTTTTTCTGCTGTTATTTTGGACAACTATTGGATTGGGAATGTGGTACGGTGCGGAAGCTGCGATGTATGGTACAAAGTGTTGTCTTTGGGTAACAAATTTGAAATCTAAAGAAGTAAAGAAACTTGGAATGCATTAGATTATAAAGGATGTGGAAAATGGAAGGGTATTAGAATAATACAGCTCCTTCATCTCCCATTAGTTACTCATTAGTTTTTATGGTTTCCGAATCCTTGTAGCACCTGTAGCTGTCTATAGTGAACTCATCAATTTAAATATGGTTGTGATCTGATTGTAATTCAAATCCAACCAAGTTTAATTTCACCTCGATAGTTTATTCTGTAATGATCAGTGAAACATGATAATGTTCTAGATTTTTATGGCTGGTGTGTAGACCATTATTGTCTAATGATGCATGTTAATACTTTAGACGTCATGCAACTAGTTGGACTTAAAGTGTCTATCCTAGCTAGTGCTAAAAGAGTCTACCCCTTAGCCTGTTAGATATTCAGGCACTTTGTTGTGTTTTGACCTTTAATTATTGTTATTCACTTTATTTCATATGAATTATTTAGTGTTGTAGGGTATAATCAAACCAAGCACAATGGAAGGAAATGACTGGAAACAGCAATTTCATAAGTCCCGTGCCACAGCTCAATGAGCTCTTTCTATTTCAACAGAAAACACATTTCTCAAAAATTGAAGAACTAAAGAAAGTGAACCCCCTACTCCTATTTATAGACCTTAGCTGGAAATCCTAACCCTAATTGAACTCCCATAAAACTCTGGTTTTTCCCATAACAACCTTAACAAAAATTAGGAACTGCCAAATCTACCACTAACAAAAATAGGAAATACACGAAAACAAAAAACTACTAGTTGCCACTAACCAGAGCTGAATTTTTCCATAGTATGTCTCGCCAATCTATTTTGAAACGATATATGGTAAGGGCAATTTCAGCACTCAAGCGACAAAATTGAAATTTCACCAGTAGTCCTATTTCCGACGGTTTTTCTTTCTGGACTTGGGTTGTTTGTAGGCTTAGGAATTACATCATTTACTCCTTGTTTTTATCTCTTGATTTTATTCATGGCCCAAAAAGCTTTGAAGAATTATCTTATCCCTATACTCATCAAATTTGGAAAAATGAGCTCCGTATCAGCCATTTGACCTCATCATGACTGACAGAAATTTCCGTCTTCATTTCAGGATATCTTGTAGAGATTTCATGGGGACCCAGATTTTTCCAACTACCCAGAATTAGACAAGGGAAGATCACGGACATACAAGGGATTCAGCTATTGCTCGAAGTACCCTTCGAAGTTTATATAATATCAATTGAGACTTCCCACATTGAGGCAAAATTTTTCCCTGTTAGGAAATATAAAGTGCATTTACATTCTCTCCTCATGCATGCTTTTAAATAATACTAATACTATCAAGGCATTTTCATCTGCGGATTCCATTGGAATAGTCCAATTATAAATCCAGCCGATAGCTGCAATGTTCTCATCATTGATTTCATACATGTTTGTGCACAATCTTCTCGCCGGTTTTTAAAGCGCCCCAGGACATTGCTGATGTTGAATTTTACCAAAAGCAATTGTATGGTTTCTTTGGATTGGGCCAAGGCAGATTAGTAGCACACTGACTGATTATTGAGATAAATTAGTGTTGATGTCCTGTTGTTAAAGTTTTCCTACTTCTGACATAGGCCTGCCGTACTTCACATTTGGCATACCAGTAACAGTCAAATTTCAATTTAGAATGGGAACAATCCATGCGAGCTAACCCAGACGCCCATCCAAGCACATACATTGGTTCGTTTCTTAATATATAAAGAGTCCAGAGGCTGATCTGCTCAAGCTGGATCCCTGCTCTGTTTCATGTGAATTGATTGTACTGTTTTCAAATGTCTTCCACATTATCCAAGTTTCTTGGACAAGTGTAGACTATAGAGCATCATGTGAACAATATAATGCATTTCATGACCTTGTTTACTTCAATCCTTGAACCATGAAGCAAATTTTGTATCTGTCGTAGTATTTATAACATGATTTCGTGGTAATACTATTTCTACAAAGTCATTTGCTAACATGGAAGCTCCATTGGAATGGCACAAGTATGAAAATGGCCAACCACTGCAACATTGTCATGTGAAGAAAATCAGGACCACTGCAACTTGGGTTTAATGCATTTTCTTGTAGAATCTCTCTCATCATGTGAAGAAATCAGGACCCTGCATTTGTTGAATCCGACCAAAAGGAATCATATTCTTTCTCTGATAAGGTCAGTGCACATTACCAGTGAATTGCACTGACTGATCAGTGAGGAGTTATAGATAAACTTTTTATTCTTAAAATTTTCCACTTTGACATGGGAGACCATACTATACTATTGTCATACCAGTGGTGGTAGAATTTCATTCTAAGATAGGCAAAATCTATGAGATCTGACCAGACACCCATCCCAAGGTGCACATGGGTCCAATCAACCACATCATGGTTTGTCACTTAATTGTAATAATTTTGAGGATTTCTTATGTACATGTTGATCCCATGCAATGTTTGAAAATCAGTGCCTGGGTCGGGACTCACCAGGTTCCCTAGCTTGAGGCAGCCAGTTTGACTCGCTCAAGTCTGCAAAAAGATGACAAAGAAGGCCAAACTATTGTCAGACACGGGGCGTTTCCCTAGTTTTTGGCTCGGAACTCCACAGGCACCTAGCCTACTCGAGCGAGTCATGAGGGGGCTCAGTGATTTTCAAAACACTGATCTGACGATCTATTTCATGTGAGCTTTATTCTGTCATGTTTAAATGTCTTTGACTTCATTGAGCCCAAGTCGGCTCGGCAAATTTAGGCACTGATTCAAGTCTTATTTCATATGTGCTTTATTGTATCATGTTTAAATTTCTTGGACTTGATCCAAGACTCGTTTACACCACTGGAGCGTCATGTGATGAAACCCATGGATTTCATCTTGCTTTACTTCAATCCTTGAACTATGAAGGAAAGTTCGTTTTACTAGGAAGATTGTGCTCCTCTGCTATCAGCCATCACCAGTTGTCATTGCTATATATTTCATATTATCGCTACATTATTTTCTGTATTTAAACTTCACAATGAAGCTACTTAAGAACCTAATTAATTTGCCATTTTGACCTTCAAGTATTGCAATATTGATTATGTGTAAGATCCATTGGATATTAATGGAGACTTTACATGTACAATTCTGATTATTCAGCCTAGGATACACTCTTTTTGTAATCTGCCACTTCACATGTGAAACATTGCCAAATGGTTATTTTATGCTCTATTTGTATGTTTTATGAAGCACTTCTGACCTGCAACTTCTTCTTAGATCAAGTATGCCCCACGGATTTACTGCAAAGTTCCAAGTTCATCAAAATGTGGAAGAGACAGATACCACATATGTAAGGAAGAGTATGAGTTTGACTGGGTTCGAACAACAGATTTTTCAGCATCAAGGACCATTGGCCAGTCTACTTATTTTTGTTGGATGCTTCATGAAAGTACTGATATTGCCATCATTAAAAAGAGTTTCCCACACCATAAAGAGATTCAAACCCTATATCTTGACAAAGGAGTATCCTTTTGCTCTTCCTCTGATCTGGTGCCCATCATTAATACTTTGCCTGATTGCAAGTTGGCTTATGAAATCCTTTTCCAGCTCAATGCTTTGGTTCATGCTGGGAAGATAAGTGGCCCTACCATTGGGCAAGATTTGCTTGATATCTTAGCAGGGAATGAAAATGTTGCAAAATTAGCCCTCGCAAAGTTGCATAAATCAGAAGCTACTTGTTATGATCCTCTGCAGATTATTCAAAGACACATCAATGATATCACGAGGAACAAAAAGAAGCTTCAATCTCCAAGCTCGAGCAAATTAGAAGATCACAATCTTATGAACTGTCACAGAGCTCTTGTGACTCCCTCAAAGGTTTACTTTTTGGGTCCCGAGCTCGAAACTTCTAACTACATCGTGAAGCACTTTGCAGCTTATGCTGATGATTTCCTCAGAGTTTCTTTCGTCGATGAGGATTGGTCTAAGCTTCCTTCTGATGCACTTTCTCCAAAACTTGAAAGTGGTTTCTTTGCAAAGCCATATAGAACAAACATTTACAAACGTATTGTCTCTGTTCTTAGAGATGGGATTGTTTTGGGGAGTAAAAGATTTGAATTCTTGGCCTTCTCTGCCAGTCAATTACGTTCAAATGCTGTTTGGATGTTTGCTTCTAATGAAAACATATCTGTGGAAAGTATAAGAGAATGGATGGGTGAATTTAAAAATCTTCGCTGCATAGCTAAATGTGCAGCAAGAATGGGGCAGTTATTTAGTTCTTCCACACCAACATTAAGTGTACCACTCCATGAGGTTCAAGTCATTCCTGATATCGAAGTTACCACCGACGGCATCGAGTACTGCTTCTCTGATGGGATTGGAAAAATTTCTCTCGCTTTTGCAAGGCAAGTTGCTAGAAGGTGTGGGTTGAAGCAGCCACCTTCAGCTTTCCAGATTAGATATGGTGGGTATAAAGGAGTGATAGCAATTGACCCCACTTCTTTTCATAAGCTTGCATTGCGGCCCAGCATGCAGAAGTTCAACTCGAACAATACGATGCTTTGTGTTACCAAGTGGAGCCAGTCAATGCCATGCTATTTGAATCGTGAAATCATAACACTCCTATCCACATTGGAAATAGCAGACCACAAGTTTGAAGCAATGCAGAAACAACAGATGACCCTTTTGGATGACATGCTAACAAAGAGAGATGTAGCTCTAAATGTCTTGGAGGACATGATTGTTGGCGATTACAAAGAGGTTTTAACGAAAATGCTGCTTCATGGATGTGACCCAAGTACTGAGCCTTATCTCTCAATGATGCTTCAAGCTCTCCGAGATCATCAATTGTCTGATATTAGAAGCAAGTGTCGCCTGTTTGTATCAAAAGGTCGAGTGCTCTTGGGTTGCTTAGATGAATCTGGCACCTTAAGCCAAGGAGAAGTGTTTCTTCGAGTTACTATGACGAAAGCAGAGCTAGAAAATGATGGTCAACCTTTCTTTGAAAGAATTGATGAGACAACATCTGTAGTAGTTGGTGCTGTTGTAGTTACCAAAAATCCATGTCTTCACCCTGGTGATGTTAGAGTACTACAAGCAGTTAGTGGACTGGAATTAGTGGATCAGGGTATGGTTGATTGCTTAGTGTTTCCACAAAACGGAGAAAGGTAGGCATGCATATGTGGATTTTATGCTTTCGTTTCCTGCATTTCATGTGCTAATGAAAGTATTTATTAGTTTTGGAGACATGAAATTTGAGGAAAGATCAACAACTTCAGAAAAAAAAAAATTTTTTTTGAGGAAAGATCACTTCAACAAAATAAGAAAAACAGAGTACTGGAACATAGAAACCATATGGTAAGTTTAGAGGAAAAATATTAACGAGCACATATGAGAATGCTAAGTTGGATAGCTTTTTCATTTCCAGGAATAGTAGTTAAAACTTTGATTCTATATTTAAATTCTAATGTTTTTATTTGAATCTTAATATTTTTTCTTATTAATATACGACTTGGTATTGTAACCTATGATACCTAGTGATCTTTACTTTGCATAGAAAATACTGATCAATAGATTGTTGTAAGGTCTAATGTTGAAAACTGGAAGCCTAGAGTCTATCAAAACTGTTAAAAAGTTAAATTACCATATTTGGATTTGCAGGATCCAGTGACACTGATAAACGCATGGCAAATAAATGATAGAACAGCACAATGAGGGAATTAAACTGATGAATATTTAAATTGGTGGTCATCAACATCGTATGTTGAAAGTTTCAAAAAGCATTATGGGAACCAGTTTTAACCCAGCACTTCCATGTGTCAACATCTCACACTTGTTGGCATTTCTCATGTTGATGGTAGAACTCTTACTACTGAAATTATGTTCATTATATCCCCTATCTTGCATATTAGCACGTCAAGGAATTAGTATTTATGTGTATATTATGAACTCATTTAGTCTTATGCATGCTGCTTATTATTATCTATATTTTACTCTTGTTGGTCATCAATTAGCATATTAGAATTGCTACATGTAAACACGTGGAGAATCAGATTCTTTTAGTTTGTCGGCTCGTAGAACATAGATGTATCTCAAACACCAATACTCAGCTCCATAACTGGTGGTCTATTTAAGAAGTACCATTTAAATAGCAGCTCTTTACGAAATAAAAGAAAATAAAGAATAATAAGAGGCCTTCTTATACCGAGAAATTCTCTGGGATTTCTATAACGAAACTCACTCTCTCTGAGATTTATATGTGTTATCCCAATATGGCCACAATTGGGACACTATGTTCTCTTCCCACTAATTCCATCTCTAATAACACACCACAGTTACCAAATGCAAATGGATTATCTCCAAGACAATGCAATCCTAATCTAAAATACCATGTGGGATCATTGTCCCATGCGAACCACCCAAATAGGGATGCCATCTGCCTACAGTAAATTATTCTTATGCTTTGTTGGTGAGCAAATCTTGACTCTGTATCAAATCTGAAGTTCACTCGGTCACTCAGAAAAATCATGTAGTTGGCATGGAAATTTTGTGGAGAGAAAAGTAAAAAGATAAGTCTAGTGACATCATTCTAAAAGTTTTAAGCATATAAACCAATCTCTTTCTTGTGTTGTACTTCTCTGAAGTAAAAGCTTTTGTCCATTTATACTTAAATATTGAAGCAGTTTCCATTAATTTATTTTTGTTCTAAGATGTGAGTCCAGCATGCTATGCCTTAGAAGCAAAATGGACACTTGCTGTTACTCCCTTTGACTTTGGGCTGTAAATATAAATAAATGTGGTTGCTACTTCAAAAAAATTTTTAGTCATTGGAAAAAACTTGTTTGCAAGGTATCTTAAGATGTTTTCTTTCATCCGAGTGGCATATTCAAAATTTTTGTTGCCTGATCAAACTTAGGAGTTTTCTCCATCTTTAAAGGTTTTCTGATCATTATCAAATATGGTTATTATCCTTTGGGATCCTGTTTTTGTTAACAAGTAGCAAAATCTTACATTCTAAGGTATGAGGCTTGGTTCTTGTTCAGGATCCTTTCCTAGGGGCTGCATAACTAACTATCTAGTTTCTGATTACCCAAAAATTCAGTTTTGTAGTCTTAGAAGTGATAACAAGGCTTCCATAAAGTTTTAATCATACTGTCACTCTGTTCATTTCTGTAATTCTATAGAGCACATTCCAACCATTGTTCTGGTTCTGATTTGATGAGTTGGATACTATGCGTTGGGTTTTGCGTTTTCTTTATAAATGATCACTTGACTTATCTAGGAAGTTTTCTCAATCTCTCATTCTCCTTTTTAATTTTATAGGCCACATCCCAATGAATGTTCGGGTGGTGATTTGGATGGTGATTTATTTTTTGTGTGTTGGGATAAGGATCTTATACCAACCACTAATGATCCAGCCATGGACTATTTAGGACGCAGGCCACGTATCATGGACCATGAAGTAACGATGGAGGTATGTTGATCCAACTTTTCCACGAAGCTTAGAAAAGTTAGACGAATAATGTAATTACGATTAGTGCTCGGTGTTTTTTGTCGTTTTCCATTATAATCATTGTGTCTTATGATTTCAAAAATATATGAATGAAAATTTGCTTTTTGTAGCTAACATTCCACTGCCATGGTAAATTACAAAGAATGAAGTGGAAAGCCATTACAATTTTTTCGAGGGGGCAGTCATCAGGGGACTTGGTAGAGGTGAAAGGAAAGAATGTAAATGTAAACCACTGCAAGATATGAAATTGGATGATGAGTTGCAAAAATAAGAAATACTTATTTTGAGCTTCAATTAGGCTTCTGTTTTTTTGTTTTATTATTATTAGTATTATCTTTTAATTGCAGTTTACAAGCACGAGCTGCAAATTTCTGTTATATACTAGGCTTCTATTAGGCTTCATGTGGGATGTGGTGTCTGTTGGCGGCAATCGGTTAGCTTAGGGGTTTAAATGGGCCTGGCTTGCCCCATGGACATCGGAGGCCCATCCTGACATGGGCCTGATTTCGGCCCCTTCATAGGGCCTGTTGTGGTGGCCTGGCCCGAAATTAAAGTATGTTATCTTAATGGGCGAGGATTGGCATTAGAATTAAGGCCTGAGCTGTTTCTGGGGAACGGTCTTAAAAATAGGCATAACACATGTGACTCAACCAAAACCACCTGCACCTGGAAAAGCATACACTGGGGTTCATACAACTGATTTGTTTATGTGGGTTGATGTATTATGATCTATATATGACAATAGAAAGTTAATAGCTATATTTGTTATTAGGTAAATCTATCAAATCACTCTTAGGAGTTCAACTATTTAATATCTTACCATTTGTTTCTAATTTCAAAGAGCCCGTCATTCTTTGTGTCAACTTTCAAATAGGCCATTAATTGAAACATCATTGTGGGTTTTAAATTTTAAATATTTCTACGTTTAGGTGTGATTTGATAAATTTCCCTTGGTATAACTATTCAATTAATGGGTAGAGGGTGATGTAGATGGAGTGGAACCTGTGCATTTGGGTCATGTCATTTTTCTAGCCCCTCTCTCTCCATAATTGTCACCCAATTATTGGATGATGGTGACACTTATGATAATTGATGGTATACATCATAGTATACTTTTCACTGTTTTAGTTTTCTAAAATAGACATGGATGAACCTTCCACCAACTGCTTTTTATTATTTGATGGCAAAACCAACTAGTTTGAATTCGAAATAAAAAATTCAGGTACGCTGGGACTGAGCTGGCCAATTCATCCCATAGTAGCTTCCTAACCAGTTTGTCTACCAGACTAGTTTCTAAGACATTGGGATGCTTAAGAAAGATCCTTCCCTGTGAAATGAAGTTGCTTTTCCCTTTTTTGGCGTTGAGGGCCTAAACATCTCCTGCGACTGACTTGTCACTCATGAAAAGGATTGTTGCTTGAGCACTTGCATGTCCCTAAATTTGAGATTGTTTGTGTTCTTGTTGTTCATGGTTCAGGAATTCTTGTTTAGGCCATCTTCTCTCTTTTTCTGTGTGTGTGTCTGTGTGGAGAGAAGAACGGGGTTCTTATTTTAGTGGACTTTTAGAAATCAACGTGGACCTCCTTCCATTGCCCTGTGATGTCCTAGTCCAGCAAGGTTCCAATGGCTTGTAATCAACTCTTGATTCTTGAGATTCAATTGGACATTTCTAGGGAACACAAATACTACAAGAATACGAGTAAGGAATAAATGATCCAAAGGAATGGTTGGGCCAGCCTTGGCAAGCCAAAACAAGTATCTTGTTAACACTGCTGATATTTAGGACGCTGGTGATGTAAATCTCATCTCTCTATATATCAAAGAGTATGAGGTGGGGTTCCCTTATCAATTACATTAAGAGAATCAGAATGTAATGTTTGAACAGACGAGTCCTTCACTTGTCCAGTGTTTACCTATCTGGCACAAAGTAAATATGTGGTCATATTGTGTTTTTATCATATTTTCCCGTATCCCTAATGCTAAGTTTCCATTGGTTTGATTTCTTTTGTATTAATCTATTCAGGAAATCCAAGAATTCTTTGTGGACTACATGATCAACGACAACTTGGGGGCCATATCGAACGCGCATTTGGTCCTTGCAGACCGAGAAAAGAGCAAGGCCCGAAGCCCTAAATGCATTGAACTTGCAAAACTTCACTCTATGGCCGTGGACTTTGCAAAGACTGGTGCACCAGCTGAAATGCCGAGATCCTTAATGCTTAAAGAGTACCCTGATTTCATGGAAAGAGGCGAAAAGTCCACATATGCTTCACCAGGCATACTGGGAAAGCTCTATCGCCTTGCAAAAGAAGCAAGCAATTCTCAGAGTTTCGAGTTGGTTTCGTCCAAAAATGTTGCCTTACCTTTCTATGACACCAACTTGTTAGCTAAGGGATTTGAGGAGTTCATTGAGCTTGCAGTGAAGCACAAGGAGGCATATGGACAGAAGTTGCAAGAATTGATGGACTACTATGGTGCAGAGAGCGAGAGTGAGATTCTGAGCGGAAATATATCAAAGAAATCAGGGTATTTGCAAAGAGATAATAGAAAATATGGTGAAGTTAAGGACAGGATATTGATTGCTGTGAAGAATTTGCAGAGAGAAGCACAAGGCTGGTTCAAGAGTAGTTGTGAGCCTAACCAGAGTTCTAAATTGGCATCTGCTTGGTACCATGTTACATACCGCCCAGACCATTTTTCGAAGGTTAATTTCTTTAGCTTCCCATGGATTTTGGCTGATGTGTTGCTTAACATCAAGGCCTTCAAAAGCCAAATGAGGTGAGAGAGGGCGTGAGCGAGAGAGATTTGTTCATTTAGGTGTGGATATGTAGAAGTTATACAACATTGTAAAGAGGGGGTTGTAGATGCTAGAGAGAGAGAGAGAGAGAGAGAGAGAGAGAGAGAGAGATACTTAATTTTACTTCACTGTTCTACTTGTGACAAGAACTACTTTAAGTACTG